GGCTGGCCCGGGAGCGACGGGCCTCGTCAGGCACATGTACCTTGTTTAAACTGTTAACACCCCCCCCACCCCCGGTCTTTCAACACGTTTGCAGGTTTCTGAAACGCGGTTTTTATCTGGCTGCGCAGCGTAACTTCAGAAGTCGGTGTTTGATGTCCCGTTCCGGACGCTGGCTGGCTAGGTTCTGTGAATAGAGTTTCTTCGGTTAAAAACCAGGGTGAGGTGTCGGGCGCTTTCACAGCCGATCGAGCTGCCCGGGCTCACCTGGGCTTGATTGCCGTGTGGCCTGCGCGCAGGTGTGAGCTATTCCACGCCGAAGGAGCGAGTGTTTGTTTTTTTTTTTTTCAATCTGGAGTAATTTCATATTTCAGTAATTATGCTTTTTGCACAGTGCCCACACTACATCTGGAGTGTTGTTGGCATTTGAATTCTGCTTTATTAACGAGTTGTTGTGCGTTAAATTAATTACAAGTAGGACAAAAAATAGCCAATGGAAATATTTCAAGACCCTCTGGTTTACTAATTATACTCCAATTGTTTGCTACTTGAAGTATGGTTTGCTTTACATGTATTTTAACAAATGCTTTTTCTGTTACTGTGTTTTGTGTGAGACTGCGGGCATCAGCCCAGCACCCCTCAGAGTTAACAGAGTCTGACTAAGAATCAGCAAGTCTGGATTCTTGTCCTGTGACAGATTTGTTCCCTTACCTCTGGGAAGTCTTACCCCTTTCTATGTCCTACTTTATGCTAGCTGTTAAAGAAAAAGGCCCCTCTCCTCTGCAAAGCACGATGGGGACTATGGATAACACAGATTATAGAGAGGGTTGTTGTTGTCATAGCTTCTGATTTTGGAAGGTAGATGTGAACACTTTGTATTTAAAATGGGTTGAAATTGCAGATTCACTTACCTGCCTTTGAAAAAGATGAGAGGAACAATGAAAATAGAAATTAATCCAAGCCCCTTTTCTCACTAAGGAAGAAACTGTAGGTCAAAAAATAATTTTATTTTGTTCTTTGGAGTGTCCTTTGGGATAGAGGTGTGTGGGGTTTTTGTTTTAACTAAGCTGCAAGCAATTAATAGTTCTTTCTCCTTTGTTATTTAGCAAGTTTCAGGGAAAGATTTAGAGCAATTAGTTTGCATGAAGTGTGCAAAACAGAATAAGAAAAACTACCTCTCTTGAAGCTTTTGTAATGTTTATTCAGTGTTAGGGTGTGATAAACATATGCATTGAACACTGTTTTGTGGAAACAACAAAAATATGAGCGGTCATTTCTTTCTTATTGCTGAAAAACATCTAATATTTTCTCCATCTTTCAGGATCAGGCAGAACAGTTCTTTAGAAGTGGTCATACAAATAACTGGGCAGTTTTGGTAAGTGTGGTCCAGGTTGTTTTCTTCCAATAAAGTTTACAATTTTTCATCAGGAGCCATAATTGCCACAGTCACTCAAGAATTCTCTTCATTTGAAAGAAATGGAAAGATAAAGACTTGGAAATGAATAAATTTGAAATTGTACCTGCAAATTTATTACACTATAATAAAATTATCTTTCCAGTGTGACTGCATTTCAAGCACTCAAAACGTCTAGCTACATGTCAGGATTCATAAAACAAAAGTTCTGACAGCATTAAAACATTTAAATTACCATATTGCATGTTGAACAAAAGTGTAATTCTGATATCAGAGAAGTATATCTCTTTGGCCAGAAAGGTGCAATTTATTTCTGATTTTTGTTCTTACTCAATGTGTTAATTTGTGATAGCAGGCTAAGAATAAAATAAATTCAGGCAACATAATGTTTAGATCAACTGTTCTTATCCTAGGGTTTTTTTTTCTTTGCCATGAATCTTTTAGTAGCTTTGAATCATGCTACACAATTGGTTCTTAATCACAATTCATGTCTTAATGACTAATTTGTTTAAGAACACTATTGTAATTACTCAGTAGCAGCTGTTTATTTTCCAGACACTAAAACTGAGCAATATAAAAGGAAAGTTACCAGTAGTTAATTGAAGTAGAAGGAATAATTTCTATATTTTACAATGTGCAAACTTGAAACTATTCAAATATCAAGTACTATTTTAATACTATGAACAAATAGGTGCTTTTATTAGTGCCCATAAAAACACACAAAGCAAGTGGAAAATTAGGTCCAAGGAGCTATACTTTCTGTCCTTAACAGATTCTCTGCTAGTTATATTTTTTCAGTAGTTCATGATTAAACTTTTATAACAATTGCTACTAATTTTTAAAGCAGTAAAATGAGGGGTTGTTACTGCTGTCGGGTACTTCAAGCCTGGATTCTGCAATCCCACCTTGTCAGTAGTTTGAATTAATATGCTGCAGTGTGAATAGCTATATTTAAAGCATAGGCACGTTTTCCACTGTGTTGTAAAGGGAGGTAGTGGAGGAAAGAAGCAGATTATAATACCTTGAACTGTCACCGCTAGATTGGCCACAGTTAGTTTTCAGAGCTTTAAATCTTGCTGAAAGGCAAATGTTCTCATGGACTGATTCCTGTGGGTGTGTTTGAAATTCCTAACGGGAATCCTGACAGGGTAGTCGAGACTCAAGGGGATCCTTTCAGGCTGAATTTTTATTATTATTTAAGCTACTACTCATTTCTTTTTATGAAAAGGCTGGAGAAAAAGATGTTGCATAGTGTAACTTTACTTAAAGATGTTTCTATTTAAATTAGAGCTGTACATTTAAAGCTGAAAAATTAAAAAACTTTCTTAAAGGTTTGTTCCTGCTTCTCTATTTTTGTGATTTTAAAGTCACCTCTTCTAAAATGCTTCTTCCTTTGTCTGTTTGAAAGACTTGTAAAAGTGAAGGAATTTTGTATCCAAAGATAATTGCTGTCCTTGGTGCGGAACAAACGAAAAGTAGCGAACTTAAGTTAAACACAATGACAATGATGAAGCTGCTAAGGAACTACAGCAGATTGCCTCTGAAGGTTTTTGGGATCTCATTGGTTTGAGGTTTTTGAGGACAGGTTAAGTAATATCTGGCCTATGGAATAGTTCAAGTATGGGAATGGCTGGTGCCCAACACCTTGCCTGTTAGAACAGTAGAACCTGAACTCCTTTGAGATTTTTGAGAATTTGTATTCAGATTTTGGTTAGATCTCACTTAGCTCTCTATTATATTTGACTCCTTAAATACAAACATTCTTAGTGTATTTTCCCTTGTGTGTGGCTTCTGCATGAATTCACTTATGCTTTTGTGCAATAACACTCACAAAATGACTTTGTTATTGGGTTGGGAACTCTTCCTTTGCTATGGTGAAAGCAAATGAAAAAATTTAACTTATCCACTTGCTATTGCTGATGTATTCCCTGAAGTTCTGATGTATTCCCTGAAGTGCTGCTTTCTATACTTAGTTGGGTTTTATGACAATTTTTTCATGAGTCAGTATGTTAAGAAGTTTTTTTTATTTTCAACATTTGTTGCTTTTGTACAACAAAGATTTATAAAGAGATATACATGTCATGAGTTTCTTGGTGTCGCTATGTTCTTTCTGATTTGTTACTAGTTGGTAGTCCTGTAGTCATGGTCTTCTGATGCAATGTGCCAGGCCAGTTTGTATCTTTTACACTATTTAATATGTCGCGTTTTTTCCCTTAAAAATTCAAGGTGTGTACATCTCGATTCTGGTTTAATTATCGTCATGTGGCAAATACTCTTTCAGTATA